CATGTGCTGGCTAACACGTGTCTGTCAAACTGCGATGACTGCGGGAGAGACACCAGCGGACTGGAGAACGAGAGTTATTGTACCCGTATTCAAAAAGGGAGATCACAAGGAATGCTCCAATTTTAGGGGCATTAAGTTATTGAGCCTCCGTACTGATGTCTGCGGAAATGTGATGGAAAGGAGTTACTTCAGAAAAACTGTCTCTATAGTACAAGAAGAGCAGTGTGGCTTCTGACCGGACCGAGGCACCTGTCGCCATATATGTGCCCTGCGTCAGACTGTTGAGAAATCGTATGAATTTGCCCATCCGGTGTACATGTACCTTTTCGATGTAAGGAACGCCGCTGACTGGATCTCTGACCGAATTTCTAATGCTTTCCTAATGCTTATGGTTGAGATGGCAAACGTTTTGGTAATATATTGTATTGCTTTTTTGTACTCTGACTGCGGAGATGTTCGTTCAAATTAGCTTATGGAACTAACGCTTGGCATTTGTACATCAAGCAATTTGCATTTCGTCGATGAAACAAACATCTCATAGTGCGAAAATTTGAAATACCTAAATCAGGAAACATCAAGAATCCAAAGAAGCCGACAGTTTGGCAAAACCATTAAAAATGAACACGATAACATATGCAGTAAATACAGAAGCTTCGATTGCCGACCGCTGCTGGGTTCGTGATAAAACTCCATAACTATAATTGGCATACAGAGTGATGATTTCAGTGCGATTCATCCTTTAGGAGATCCCAAACTTTCGTCGTTGCTCCATTGCCCAACGGGAACGTCGAGCTTAGAAGGTTAGAATATATGGAAGGGTTAAGAAGACCATTTACGGAAAATCGCAATTTAGTAATAATAGAATGCATTCATTTAGCAACAGTGAATATAGATCAGTGAATATGCCACATTTGCTCTATGTACGAGTTGCTGCAGTTAACAACATAAATTCAAGTGGTTCATTAAGTGCTTAGAGTTTTATCAGTGCTTTCGCAAAGGAAGTCGAAACAGGTAGTATTTGCCAAATTTACAGGCTGAAGACCCCAAGGTAAACTAATAATAACCTGGGTCAAGTGGCTCAAAGGACTCTGCTTTTCTTCTGCCGAAGTTCAGACGCTGACTCATGATAGAAAACGTTGTAGACGCTGTTGGGTTCGCGACCCAAAGGGACAAGCTGCCATCGAAACTGACTGAATTAAATTTCAATTTTCAATGAATGGATAATGGCAAACTTGTTAATCATATCGCTTTAATAAATTGAAGCGAAAATTCTTCAGACACTAGTCCTCAGTTGTATGTGTAGTTTTGTTTCTTGATATCAATTATAAGTTTTATAAGGCATGATTCTCAACGATTTTTGTTTTATGGAGCTAGCACCACCATTTCAGCTGATGAAAAATCAGATTATGTTTCCATTCCTAAAAATAGCTCATGCAAGTACGCTCCATATTGGAGTATCTGTCAGAAGCGTCAAGGTGAATTGGAGTCTTTAGGCTCACTCATCAGACGGCATACATCGCACATTCCGGTTTGATCAAACGGGAAACTATGCGACCCTTCTATTGGCTAGTCAGCGAATGAACTGCTGGCTGTTTTTCAACTGGTTGCACTGAAGCGAATTGAGTCGATTCGTCGATCAAGGGAATTGGCTGCAAAAATGATAAAGTTTTTGGCCGCATGTCGAATTCGGATTCGGACATCCGTAGTTAAAAGCACATCTTTAATCCACTGCGCCTTGCCCGCAGTGACACGATTTTGTCATCGCCAATTTTTAGGAGGAGGAGGCATGGTTATTTTTCCAAACATTTGAATGTGGCTGGTTTATTTGGAAGGAAAGACGTCCAGAAAGTCAGACATTGACCCAGATAATAAGCAATTGCAGCAGCAAGACACGATCATCGACACCGGCACCCATTGAGGGCACTGCGGAGTTCTCTTGTTTCGTAGAATAGTCACAGGAATGTATTGCTGAGCGCATTTTCCGCCACCTGCAATTACTGTCAGATTTTACAGAGGATAATTATATTGCTACCGGATATGCATAGACTCTCGCCGCAGATCACTTCGTTTAGATAACGAGGAAAATATTGTGAGGACAGTTTCCGAATAACTCGACATGAACCGCATATGCTGTGGTATCCTGGCTTCTCTTCAGTACCGGCTTTCTTGCAGGAAATTATGTAGTCCGTTCCTTAGATATTAGTTAACGTCATGCACCGAGCAGCAAAGCGTAGGGTTTACCTGCTTCTTCGTTGTAGCGTGACCGCTTACTGCGAAAGATCCTCCATTTCTGTGTGAATAAGTGGGTGGGATAATCAGCATTCACGTTTGGTGTATTAAACGCAAAACTGCCTAGCTGACCATTTTGACCGTATCGCGGAATATTCTGATTGGCTGTGTTGTCATTGGCAGACAGCTTTGACCAATGCTGCTCAGGAGTTCCATAAGCTTAAATGAAATATTCTTTGTCAAACACAAAATTGGTAACCGCAGGCGTTACCGTGTTCTTCTCGGTAAAATTCAGCCGAATATGGAACAACAACGGAGCCTGAGCACAGGTATTTCCCAGACTGTCAGAAGACACGATTGCAATACTTACTGCTTGATGCATATCCGTTATTGTACGGATTGTAGTTCCCTGAAGAGTACTGCGGTACGTTAACAGGAGAGGTAGCTTCGAACTTTGGCTGAAACGGCTTCACCTCGATTGGTATCTTGGCGAAGGTGTACGAGCGTCGTCCAAAGTTGTTCTTGGCTTTAAAAGCGGCGCGGATTTCCTCTGTACGTCGTTGACACTGATCATCACAGTAGTACGCCTCTGAGGGCTGAAAAGTAAACAAACGACTCTGAATAACTATCAACGAAGTGTATTGCGTATGCCAAATCAGGCAGGTTAAATATAAGTTTCAGCAAAACAAAGCTAACGTAGGCAAAAGTGCAGACAGAAACACATTATACGGAACTCAGGTTCATAACCACATTTCATTTCAAAATTTCAGTGATAAGGTCTGTGTAAATAGTTTCAGAAAATATTATGAAAATAACTAATTTCTCGCAGGGTTTTTGGGATATCATTTTGGATGCACGCCGTCCGTAGTCAAACTCTCCACCTTTCAATGCGAACGGCCTTGGTCTTTTCCATTTCTTGATATTTTATTCACAGCAAGTCGCCTAACGCATTTTCTATCAGCATTTTCAGAAAGCCACAAAACTGTGGTGGAGATTTGGAGTGTTCCTGCAATACAGCCCACAACAATTTCCACGACGTAATAAAAAAATAGGAGACTACGGGTTAAGCAGTATCATATAGAAAATGGCATCCTGAATAAGGAGTTCAACGTTACCAATAGTATGTTCCTAAAAATGGACATATAATCCTCTAGGTAAATTCCAGTATTCATTGTCATAAATACAGTAATCAGAAAAAGCTTTAAAGTTCAACATCTGTCATCTCCATTCTGCATAATCCCGTTTTCTCTCATGCAACAAATATCACCTCCAAAAACAAGGTCTCTGAGTTGTTTGTGAAACACACCTCCAGCGGAGTCCATTTTATACAAGAAACTAAACTCATTAGTAAATCATTACAAATGTGATATAGTTTATTGGATAAACTGTAAAAATTGATAGAATTTATGTTTGTAGAACATGCGAGATCCATAATGTACGACTATAGGAATACCAACATGTCGTTATGAGGAATCATCCAGTACATTTTTGGATAGTAGCACGTTCCACGAAATGCAAGCATAACCTTAAGAGTAAAGATGCCAGCATCGTTCACTGTGGAAAGGACGGTCTCGGCATACTCACCAAATAATCCCTGCATATTTCAAGGAACAAGAATGTATGTATAACAACTGCACGAGTATCAAGTCACGTATTTCCTGCTTCGAAATTCAAGGTATGAGTCTCCAATCAGTTGCGCGTCTTATTCGCTAGTTCAGTCCCGCCATTTATCACAGTTATCACCCAACCCACCCACCTTCCGCAGTTCATCCAACGTTGATTTCTTAGCGAGCCGTGGCATGTTTTCTGCTCTCGTAGAAATGAGTTGTGGCGAGAGAGGTTGCTCTCTGTGAGCTAAGAAGTGCGGGAGTCCAGAAGTGAACGATGCCTGAGGCAACATCCATACTGTACGTTAGAATATTCGTCCTCATCTAGTGTAGATAAGTTCGATTATGTACGCCGAACGTGCCGTTGGTACGAATTTAGTACTGGTGATGACGGAATCTCGTCTTCGGGGAAGGGGGCTCTTGTCCTGCAGGACTAATGGTCATTTTGGTGGTCAAGTTTTGATTACGCTGTAAAGGTGTGTTTATCCTATTGCCTTAGGTTAAGCCGGACGGCTATTCCGGAGGAACAAACAGGTGTTTAAGAGGACGCTGTCGCACATTCCCCGATTAATGTGTCGAGTGACAACGGCCAACACGCTTTCTATGACCGCTACCAGTCAACTGTTTGCACGTTGTTGAGTATTCACAACTTGAATGACATAAACAGGCGCTTGTTGAACCTTTGCGTCACAAATAAGTTAGTTATCTTTAAGACCCTGCATCCTCATAAGTGTATTGCTCAGACCGCTTGGACATTCCCAGAAGGAAGCCTGAATACCCATTTGAACTACGCCCTCATCGACCTCATATTCGGCATCTCCTTACTCCAGTCTGGCGTAAGGTTTGGCACTAGCATTTGGTCTGATCGTCAAACAGTCATAGAGGAACTTTTTCTGAAATTTGCCATGCCGCATCGACGCAATTTGGCTGAAGCACGTCAGCTGCTCAATGTTTGCAAGGTAAAGTGTGATGAAGTGGTGAGGTCAGCCGACCAAATTTAGGTAGGCAGTTATTCTGATACGTCTTTAGTGTCCATCGGGTATACAAAGACTATAAAGCTTCCTCTGTGAAGGTGCAGTCAAGAAGAGGGTAGACAAACTGCCCTGAGTTCCAGAGAAGAACCTAGTTCTGGGAGTGCAAAGGAATCGAGCAAAGAACGAGTACCTCTAAATCCACACTTTGTCCCGTTGAAGGTTGTTCTTACCGTCGAAATTGCCTTGAGCCGTTTGAATAAACCGAACGTTACCATTTACAAGGTCCATTTCTATTGAAATTGTCACCCTCATCAACTAGAATGATTTGACCTAGCAAGTCTAATCGAAACTTGGTTCCTTGTGTGACGCCTTTCGCTGTGTGTTTCGAATAAAGTTCTTCTTAGATGTTTTTTAGCTGTCTGCATGATTCAACAAGTTTTACAAGTTTCGAACAAATTTTATTATAAATACTTCATTTCAGTCTCCGTTATTTGCAGTTATCACGTGTTTCTCGCATCAGTACCGTTGTGACAAAAATTTAACAACTTCGTCTGATTCACAGCTTTGTTACTAACCTTGCTATGAGGTCATAGCTTGGACACTAATGCGAAAGCCAATTACTGAAGGATGTCATTAAAGCATGGTATAGAATATTACGATAGCAACTGTGCTAGCAACTATCGTTTTTTTTCTTCTTTTTCTGAAGAGCGTCTCTTACCTCACATCTTACATTTCGATCTTCACTGTTTCCTTCAGTTCGGTGGACTTCCATCAGGAACACCAACGAAATTAACTCACGTTTCAGCTCGGCAATTTCGTTT